GTAATAATTATGAGATAAAAAGTCAAAATTATAATATATTTAGTCATAATTATTAGAAAAAAAAAAAATCGAAATTGACATACCAAGTCAGAATTACATAAAAAGTCTTAATTATGACATACAAAGTAGAAATTATAACATATTTAGTAATAATTATGAGATAAAAAGTCAAAATTATAATATATTTAGTCATAATTATTAGAAAAAAAAAAAATCGAAATTGACATACCAAGTCAGAATTACATAAAAAGTCTTAATTATGACATACAAAGTAGAAATTATAACATATTTAGTAATAATTATGAGATAAAAAGTCGTAATTGACATAAAAGGTTGCAATTATGACATAGCAAGTCGAAATTATACGAGATAAAATGTAGAAATTCTGACATATTTAGTCACAATTATGAGATTAAAATGTTGAAATTGACAAAAAGTTCAAATTATGAGATAAAAAGTCAAAATTCTAACAGTCATAATTATGAGATAAAAATGCGAAATTATGACAATTCATAATTATTAGAAATAAATTGAAATTATGACATAAAATTCATAATTATGAGATGAAAATTAGAAAGTGTGACATATTTAATAATTGAAATTGACCTAAAAAGACAAAATTATAATATATTTAGTCATAATTCTTAGAAAAAAATCAAAATTGACATACCAAGTCATAAAAAGTCTTCATTATGAGATTTATGAGATACAAAGTAGAAATTATGATATATTTAGTAATAATTATGAGATAAAAAGTCGTAATTGACATAAAACGTTGCAATTATGACACAGCAAGTCGAAATTATATGAGATAAAAAATCGAAATTGACATACTAAGTCAATTATGAGATTATAAAAACACGATTATATTATAAATAGTCATTTTTTGCCCTTTTTATTTCATAATTTTAACTTGGTATGTCATCATTTTGACTTTTAAAGTCATTATATGACTTACCAAACATTTTTTCCCTTACATGGTGGAAATAGGCTTCCACAGACTTGAGCACTTGGGGTCACACGGGATGGAAACAAGGAGTCATGACATGAGGAATCAATTACGTTTTGCAAATATACAATATGAAACATAATTATATGTTTGCGTGTGTGTGTGTGTGTGTGTGTGTGTGTACATCCAGCTACTGGGTCATTAATGTCTTATGCACTCTTTGTTACCTTTCTAGATCTTTCTAAAATTCCCAGTACATCATTTTAGCCTTAGACACACTCCCAGTGTGATTCTTTTTCTCAGTCGCATCACATTTACATATTCTACATCATTATTTTCACTCACCTCACATGCTGCCTCACCATCTGCATTCATATTGGGTCCAGCATCTCGGCTCAGTGCCTGACGCTTTGGCCTTTCTTTATTTTCCATATTTTTGACTGCATGATACACTGTTGTGTATTCACCTTGTGGTTTGTAATCTGAATAGAGCTGATCCTTGTTTATGTGGCTATAAGAGAGTCGTTTATGTCCTTAACCTTTGCATTCGAAACACAGAGAGCTCTCAATTCAGGCATACATCATGAATCAGCTCTCACACGGTTAACAATACAATGGGGCTTTCACTTTTTTTCTCTGCCCAAACCAATAAATAACAGCAATCGTGCAATTTTTGCACTCACCTGAACTGTGAATGTCATGTGATTATTCTTTCTGGAGCTGCAGCAAATGTATCCTGACAAAGAATCAAGAGATTGCACAACATTACTGTGTAATGATTAAATATCAGTGATATTCATGTAGCATAAAAATAAATACACCGTTAAATGTCTATAAATGGAGTGAAAATGCTTTTTGGAGGCAGATACACTCTCAGAAAAAAAAGGTACAGAAGCTGTCACTGGGGTGGTACCTTTTCAAAAGGAACACTTTTGTAGCTTTTAGGTACTAATATGTACCTTTAAGGTACCAATATGGACTGTTTAGGTACACAGGTGTGCCTTTTGAAAAGGTACTGCCCCAGTGACAGCTTCTGTACAGCATCTACCAGCAGGAGCAAAATTTTACAGATCCACAAAGTTATTGTGTGCAATGACAGAGTTTTGAAATAAAAATGTTACAAATTTAGATTTGTCCAATGAGAATCCCTGAAATTATCACTTATATGTGATGCTGTAGTTGTGGATTATGTAAGGAACTAATTGCAGCTGTAATAATGATAATGCAGGGAAATGAGAAAAACAACAATGCAAAGACACTAAATAAGACACAGGTGAACAAAATGAATAACCAAGGTAAGAACATACTTAGAAACCATGCAAACAAAATAAAGAGGAAATAAACCAACACAAAAACGTCAATGCAAAGTCAAGAGTACAAAAATATCAAAATAAATGCTTAAAATTCATAACGTGTGATGGACACATGGCCAGCTAAGCTCTTACAACAGACGAAGCAAAGCTTGTCTGTCTGCATAAACAACTGTGTACACCAAGCACTCAGCATACAACACATGAGTTCTTGCACACAAACATTCCCATCATGCACCAGAGAGAGAGAGAGATGGCTCTCATCTGTCATGACAGTTTAGCGCTGAGAGCTGGGACACCTCACTGATGGCTTTCGGAAACTGAAGTTTGAGGTGTGAAACCTTATCTGGCGCTATTATTTTGGACGTTATGTCAAACTGCAGTCTGCTACTGTACAGATGACAGCCTAACCATTCAACAAATCAACCTGGCCATCTGAAAACATGATTAAAACTACTGAAAACACAACTTACGGAGCCAAGATTTGGACAAAACTATAACATATAAAGCACATTTCTGATGCATGCTACCTCATATTACAGTTTTACATTTTTTTTTTATATATATCTTTTCATCACCTATTACACATCTTAAAAATTCTTCACAATCAGCACAACAGTAGTGTTTTCAATTGCTTTGATACAAAAATGCATTAAATAACCACATTCTGCAAATGCACGAAGCATTTTCTCACTCAAATTGATTTGTTACAATTGTTTTGCACATATGTACATAATGTTTTCAAAAATATTGCATTCATGGTGTGGAGAATCTTCCGTGTGGCAACATTTATGCAAAATGATACTTAATACCCTTTTCGTGACACCTTCAAAGTGATATGTCCAGTGGGTGGCGCTAAAAGTGTCTTAAATTTTTCCAAAAACAGACTCATGTCATGGGACTTGTACCTCAGCGCTTCATATATCTCAAATGCAATGTTGTACCGGGTGTGCTGCTGAGCAAGTTTACTTCATCAGGAAAGCCAAACATATGGAGCTGGTTATGTGATGTACTGTAAATGTCAAAATGTGTTTGTTTACAAATCATGCACTATGGTAAAAATGTTTTTTGAGCTCATAATATAGCATTGTGCAAGGAACTGCATGAAAATAGTAACTATTTTTAAATCAATATTCTAACCCCTGTAATCATAATTTTTGCGAAAAGGAATAAAAGTTGTTGGTGTTTTACTGCCACTAGTGTTCGTTTCAGCTGGAAACCACAGTGAATTGAACATATATGTTTTTGCAGACCCAGAAATAATAATAATAATAATACATTTTATTTATAGTGCGCCTTTCTCAAACACAAACGCTACAACATGTACACAAATGAGATAAATCAACAAAGTAAAAAATACATAAACAAATACACAATAATAAACTATAAATTAGAACCAGAACTAGAAAAACTGAGCATACTGTATAAGCTGCAAGTCTTTACACTAGCTACTAATCACCTTTTGACATGATTTTAATTCAGAATTACTAAGTAATGGTCTCAGAATATTGCAGATGCTTAATGAATATAAACCAAAGAGAACTTTCAAATTCTTAAAATCAAGTATATCATAATACTGAGGGTATTTCATCTTTCACTTTACAAGTCTGTCTCAAGTATTTTGAATGGTCATTGTGTGTGAGATGTGCTATACCTTATGTAACAATGGCTGAAAGAGGAAGTATTGACTGGAAGAACCTGTAATTGGGTCATACAATACAAGAACGTACCGTTTAATTCCACGATGAAACGCTTTGTGCCAGCTGAAGAAAGAGATCAAGTGAGGAGAAAAATGCCAGCTTTTGGACAACTGATTGTGGTAGTTGATTATGACACATGTATGAAGAGAAAGAGTGCACTTAGTGTTGAGAAAAGCATGTAAACAATTGAAAAAGCAAAACTGATTTAAATAGACATGGGTGCAAAGTTATCAAATAGGTTCGCATTTGTACTTGTGAATTGAGTAAAAGATTTCAGAAGACCTCAGAATTATGTTGACATTTGATGTTAAACTGTTGAAATTTCACTTTTAACATCTCTGAGGCCAACAGACTTGATCTTCAGATTTATATATTTTTTAATAATATTAAATGGTAATGTAGAAATATCCGAACAAGCATAAACATGGCTTACTCTACTGAATCTCACTGTCAAAATTTCATACAACATCAACAAAGCCAAGCAGATCAAGCACATGCCATCGCTTCATAAATAGTGCCAGGAGATGAATATTAATTAGGTAGCATAATACCTGGACCAATCAGCACAGATTCAGTTGTGCTATATAATGAGATCACATCCTGCCCACAGGAGAACCAATGCAACTTTTATTCATTTTCTGAAGTCAATTTGATCCATTTTCTGTATATATGTTTTTCATCATAATTTTTGTATAAATGTTTTTTTTTTGGAAAAATTTTGGGAAATTATTTTTTCATCCGTTTTATTGTCCACAGGTGAAAATCTGATTTAATCAATTGGATAGCACAACAAACAGCATGAAATTGAGCAACAGTAATGGTGAGAAGAAGAAGATGAATAAAGAAAGAAAGAAAGACAGACAGACAGAAAAAGCCCAAGGTTGTCACTTCTTGCTTTACTCTGAAAACACAAATCTTTTAGTTGTTTATTAATCTGCCATATTAAGTGGATTTATGCTGTGCTCTCATACTGTGACACATTTCCCCTCTGCATCTGAGCAAAACTCTGAATGCATCCCTGCAGGTAATGGGAGAAGGGCGATATGGGGACACGGCGTGCCGAGGTGGCACTCAGACTGGTGATGGGGATCCAAACAAGGAGCCTTTTTATTCCTTTTCAGAAGCTCCTGTAAAACAATCGGATATCAGGACACTGATGACCCCGAGAACATCGGTTTGGAGTTAACCTTACAGGATAGAAAGGAATTGAAGGTCTCTGCGTTGGACAAACATAGTATTGCCATTTATTCCTGCGCGCAAGGACGATTTTCATCGCATAAAAGAGACTGATTGTGTCCGGAGACGCGTGTGCGCTCGGTGCGCAAAAAGACCCTCCATCACCAGAAGCTTCGTGGAGACGCGGGTAAGTTCAGCCTGATTTCAGTGCGCTTTCCTTTAGTGTTTCCTTAAAACGAAATTTACGCAGATGCCGCTTTCCTGTTGTTTTATATAAACGCGTACTGTTTTCGGGTGTGCGCCCTCTGGTTATGATTCACCTCTGTACGTGTTTCCAAGTCCTTGTCCAATCGTTAATGCAATTGGTAGAAAAAATAGGCTATTATGCTCATGGCCATTCTTGGGTGGCTCGTGGTTTCTATTCAAAAGGTTGGTAACCCGACATATCTGTGTGTGTAATTTCCCGTTAAAGATCATGTCAGATGGTGGAGAGCTTTGGAGTGGTTTAAGTAGTTTTACCGCAATGCTTCATTATATGTGCATGTGGCTCCGTTGCGCTCACCTTTTATAAATTACACCCCTTTACGCTCTACTTTACATTGGTACTCGGTTATTGTTTTTATACATTCATTACGTAACAAAGATTCCAATTAACTTCCTTAGGAATTTATTGGATTAAGATGTAGTCTATTAAATCCGGACGGATCTTCTGAAGCGCGCAGCTGCGCAAAGGCGAACCGTGCAAATTGACGCAGTCCTTGGAGAAAATATCACTGAACTCTCTGATTATGTTCCTCTGTGATCCGCGGGTTCATCGCGCTATTAGTTTCAGGAGATTTTCTGTTGTTGGAAGGAAACTGCAGAAATGTCCATACTTCAGGCATAATGGAGCTAGCTGGCCTTTTCCAGGAGCCTCTGAAGGGACATTAGGAGCGCTCTGTTAGTCTCGCCTGAATGCTTGCTTTCCTTGGAGAGCTACTGCTTGACATTCTAGAGGAAGAAGAGCGGGAGTGAATGGGCCGATGTGTTCTGCATTGATACCTGAAGCGTTCATGTAGTAACTTTGCGCCCAGCGGAACGTTTTCGTTCCTCAGAGAAACAGAGCGAACAAACCTTAAAACTGCGTCCGATTCGGAAGCTGGACATCAGATGGGTTAAAAAAGCAGTATCGGATATCAGCTACCGGCTCAAGGGAAGATGACATGCTCTCGGCTTGAATCTAAAGCAATAAAATCGACAATATTTAGCTTAATAATAATAATAAAAAAAACTGACACAAAGGAACATAACTATAACCTATAATAAACAGAACGATGGTGCGGACGCAGATATAGTTATATTAGCGTAGTTTTAAAGGATGATAACTGTAACTGTAAAGTTTTATTAATCGTTCAGATTCTACAAGGATAAAGTCCACATAACAGATAACGATAACGATAACGACACAGAGGAACGATATGATCGGAATCAATTTCAGAGCATTTTTTCCCCCAGTTGATGAACGATAAAACATCGACAGCCAATCAGAATCCATCCTGCTTTAAAGAGCTAGAGCATTATAATTGTAGCCTATTATTATAATCAGAACTTTATCTTGTGTGGATGCTAGTTTTATATAATAATAAAGCTAGTTTAATAATAATAATGCATTTTATTTATCATAATATTAATGCATTTTATTTATCGTCAACCCAAAGCGCTACAACAACAAGTTTACAACAATAAACAACACAAAAAACAAAAAAAAATTTAAACGCACTCAGTTACAATAAGCCGCTTTAAAAAGTTGAGTCTTTAAAGATTTCTTAAAACAGTCCAAGGTTGGTCAGTCGTGGAGCTGAAACCGAAAAAGCTCTACCACGCATAGTTTAATTTATATACAGGCTGCTGGCTGCAGAAGGATATTTATCTTTAAAGTATGATAACGATGATTTTTTAACAACAATTCTAATTGTATGAGAACAGGGAAGTCCGCACCACAACTATCACGACATGAGGATGTCATCACTTTCAAGAACAGAATTTTTTCCCAGCTGATGAACGATAAAACATTGACAGCCAATCAGAATCCATCCTGCTTTAAAGAGCTTGAGCTAAAGCAGCAGATGGAATAATGGCAGTGCCTGCTTATAATAAACAATGCTATTGTGCTTTGGTAGTTATCATTATAGTTATTGTTCTATGACGTCGTCATCTAGCTAAGTAAACATGTATGCATTTGCGCGCCACTAACTGAGCCGTCTCTCTGTCTGGCGTCCTGAACGTTTATGTCATCGCTGAAGAGCGGGGCCGCACTGGGACACATGCAATGCTTTGTGTCTCAGCGCTTGTCAACCTGAGCATTGCTCACAACCTAACCTGTCTTTGTGGATTTTTCGCTTTGTCGTCTCTAATGCCTGTGTGCGAACGCATGTTTGTTTTAGCGTTGACCTCATCTCTGCGGCGAGCACACGTCTGCTCTAGTGTCTGCTGTTTACGGCTCTCACGCTGACCACAGAAGAGCATTAGTCATTTAAATACCACCAGAAGTTCTTTACAAAGCTGAAAACACAGTTTTCTCATTAAGTCTGCGAAACGGAGCGCGGCCGGTCAGCATACCGTCTGGATTCACCCGATACGGGCCGAAGGCTTTGGGAAATGCACTTCCTGGGCTCGGCCTAAATGTGATTAGTTCAGTCACCCTGTTCATGTCTGCCTCACCTCGCTGATGAACCCCCGCTCCAAACCTTCCACTTCATTTTTCCTGCATTCCCGGCAGCTCCTCAGAGGCTTGATTGATTACAGAGGATCCTTTGACCCCGACTGGTCTCAAATTAAATCAACCAAACACATTAATCAATATCTATTGGGTCACGGGGTTGAATTGCAATGCGTGATCTGCCATTAGTGTGACCTACAGCTGGGTGATATATCAAATATTCACGATTTATTCATCATGAATTTGCTGGCGATGTAAAATTAAATAACTTCATGAATAGCGTGATCCTTATATATGTGGTAATTGCATTTTTAAAAATGAAAAACATCAGTAACAAAATTGCATTAGAGTTAATTTATCAATTGATCAGTGAATTGTTTGTCACTATTATATATATATATATACATATATAGTTTTGAAAATTCACAATAACAATAACAACATGACTAGCATTTAAAATGCGATTAAAAAACCTTTAAAAGCTTATTAGGCTTTTTTCAATAAAGACTTAAACTTTACTATTAGTTTCCATTAGTTGGAATTAGTTAATGCATCTACTACTAACATTTCTTAATAATGAGCAATACATTTGTTACAGCATTTGTTATTTTTTGTTAACGTTGGTTAATAAAAATACAACTATTCATTGTTAGTTCATGTTAACTCGGGTCCATTAATAATAACATGCACTTTTGATTTTAATAATGTATTAGCAAATGTTGAAATTAACATTTACTAAGATTAATAAATGCTTTAGATGTATTTTTCATTGTTAGTTCATGTTAACTAAAGGACCCTTATTGTAAAGTATTGTATTGGGACCTTTTTTAAAACACATATGTAAAAACAATGTGACAATAAGGCATCATAAGTGTGAGAGAGATTGCATAAAATACTGTGTGTGCTTGACAGGGTTTGCACTTAATGAAAACTATTTAAGATGTGAATGCAAAAATAAATACAAATATTGATATGTCGCCATCGTTTCCATTAATAAGGCCATCCACATTTGCTCTAAGGTAAATGAATGTTATTAACTGAACGCATTGATTCTGGGCATTGCAGTGTGATTGTAAGTAAAGAAATCACAGTGCCATAGTGAATGTGATGTGTCAACATTATGAAGAGTTCACTTCCTTAACATGATCAGCTGTAATCACTTTCAAATGAGGCTTTTGACTTGATTCTGACTCGCAGTCTCCAGTTTTTAATCACATTGCTGCTTAATTTAACAAATTAATGAAAGGAAAATGGCAGATAAAAATGCTTTGCAATGTCACACTTCATTTCAGCTCATGTAAGAATAATATCCAATCAATTTTACCACTTCATGAGCACATTTTACTAAAACTCACAAAACTTCAGATTAGTTTTGCTCATGTTTCATGAATGAGACCCAGAGTTTCACCCCATACAGCAAAAATATATTTTCAAATATATTTATGTAAATATATTTTCTACCAATAGGCTATATATATATATATATATATATATAGCCAATTTCTTTGTATATTTTTGAAAATATCTTTAAAAAATATATATTTTTTAAATGTATTTTGCCCTATATATTTCATATAAATCTAGTTTTGATATCTAGTAGGCTATTCCATTCACATTCGTATTTAGCCTATATATAGGCAATTGTAAGATTGATAATGTATTTTCTTGCCCCTGAAATATATTTTGGTATATGAAGGTTGAAAATAAATATATTTTCTATTTCAAATATGTATTATTGAGTTTCACTGTTTATAACATATATTTTGCATATCTTGAAAATATAATTTGGAGAGAGCGAGAGAGAGTTTTCTTTTTTTTTTTGCCATATGGGACTGCTTTTACTTTTTGAATTCAGTATTCTTGTCAAAAATGGTAACAAAGTTCCTCTGAAAAAATAAAATTATATTGAATATTGTCAAAAGGCAATGTTGTTCATCTCTAGTTTTGATGTGTCACGCTGTGACCGAAATCCGACAGGTTGAGAAATCCCAGACATGATGCAATCTTCATTTTTTGTGTGTCTGTGGCTATGTGTACGTCTGTGCATGTGCGGGTTGAGATGTTGAAAGCGGCTTATTATAGTGATCCAGTAGCTCTGTTAGATTGTCACTTCAGATGCAATGGGAGTTGAGGGTTTCCTTTGTAAGAGCTATCTGCTATTTACTCCTCTGAAGAGCAGGTGAGATATTGCTTTTCTCATTTTGTCTTCCTATCAGCTGAACTGTTGCCCTGAAAACGCTCACTGTATCTCGCTTTTTGTCGCTGTATATGTTGTGATGTTCTGCCAGATTTCTCAGAGCATCTGAAATGAATTTGTGCGTCTCCACAGGGCCCCTTAGGGACTTCGCCTTCCCATTGGCCGCAGTGTGTTTTGTGCCCTAATGAAGGAAATTTATAACCGAGCAGTTAATTCACAGCCTGGGTGACACTGAGGCCTACCATTCGTTAAAGCGTTGTTGACTGTTTCCATATGAAGCAAGCTCATTGGC